CGCTCTGAGTCCGCAGGAGGAATAGAGTGAAGCTTAGTCGATATTCGAACTGACTATCTACGGTACAGTTCGACGGTTTATATGTACAAAAGAGAACAATGGTAAAGTCGGAGATGTCGGAGATCGGAGGCGCCGTTCGGCGCACAAAGGGAACATTCGGAGACAAGAGATATCGTATGGAACACAAAGGGAACATATCTACGGAAGAGGCGGAAAGATCGGACCGAAAGATCCGTCGCAAGCGACGGGAAACTAAAGTCTACAAAGGGAAGCTATGATGTCAGACAAAGGGAACAGGAAACAGGAAAATCGGAGTTGAATCCGTTCAAGATCTGGAACCACCGGGGCGTTGAGCCGCCGGTGGCCCGGTGCATGTGATAGGCGTATCCCGCCCTTGACCGAAACGGGAAAGTCGGGATCGGCGTCGGTGAAGAAGTCGGCGAAAGGTCGGAGATCGGATCGGAGGAGATCGGTGTAGATCGGTGACGATCGGCGGAGCGGATCGGCGTAGGTCGGTCTGGATCGACACGTGACAGCAGGCACTATCCGGTACATATACGCCAACTGCGCGGGCGACCCTTCGCGCATATATTCTGGTAAGAAATTGGCTCATGCGCAGGCACTATCCGGTGCATATACGCCAGCTGTGCGGGCAACCATTCGCGCATATATTCCGGTAAGAACCGCCGCTGCCGGGATCGGTTCATGCGCAGGCACTATCCGGTGCATATACGCCAGCTGCGCGGGCGACCCTTCGCGCATATACTCCGGTAAGAAATCGGCTCATGCGCAGGCACTATCCGGTGCATATACGCCAGCTGTGCGGGCGACCCTTCGTGCATATATTCCGGTAAGAACCGCCGCTGCCGGGATCGGTTCATGCACAGGCACTATCCGGTGCATATACGCCAGCTGCACGGGCAACCCAACCAACATTTCGCGCATATATTTCGGTAAGAATCACACCGCTACCGGGATCGGCTCATGCACAGGCGCTATCTGGTGCATATACGCCAGCTGCGCGGGCGACCCTTCGCGCATATGCCTCAGATATCTCTACGTCACACCAACCATTCTTATACCCAACTTTAGATACTTCAGCAAGAACAGTACACTCTCCGCACTATGAGCCCCAGAATGGGTTGCTACCACCCACATGTCGGGGGATATCCACCATTCTCCCACGGTCTGGTCAATGTCACACCTCAATCCGTCAACCATGCTCCATCTTTGTCATCCACGTTAACTACATCCTGCCCTTACCCTTTCCGTCAACGCGCTCTGCGGACCGTATCCCTCCCTCGTCGTCAATCGTACCCCACCCCTCGTCGTCAACCGCGTCGTCAATGTTGGCGTTCGACCAAAACACTCCGGAGGTACCGCGCCAGCCCCGGCCGACGGCCAGCAGCCCCTCAAGCAGTGCGCCGGCCACCATCGAAGACGCAGCTAGCGCGCCGCGCGGTGGACCAGCGCATGCCGGAAGAAGCGCGTCCTCCTCGTGCTGCAAGCACCAAGCGGCAGCAGCCAATTCTCGCTCGCGCACGAGCTCGCGGCGGCGTTCATGCCCGATCCCAGCGCAGGGTCGAAGCTGCTTGACCAAGAGACGTTTGAGCCACCGGTACCGTGTCACGCCTGCGGTCGCACATTCGCCCTGGCCATTTCCTCCCGAGCATCGCAGACAATCAAAGTGTCTTGCGATCCAAGCAAGATGTGCGTATATACAACCATTCCGGGCGCGGGGTATGTAGACCAAGATCCAATACAAAGCCCGCCTCGCGCCTTGCAGCCAGCCTAGCAATGACGGTGGTCGCAGTTCCGTACGAGCAGTATATCTTGGTGCCCTCCAATCGTACGTTACACCCCGTGGCGGTCTATGGGGTCAACGGTACCGTTTTCAACGCCGAAAGCGTCGTTGATCCGTTCATAACTCCCTCAACTTGCTGTTCACGGTTCAGGACAAGACGAGTGGTCAGCTGCTGTACGCCGGCCAACCTTTCCCCCTCATACTCTCGCAGACGTACCACATGTATACGCTCATTGGCGTCGCGAAATACTACTTATTTCTACTCGGTAAGTCGGTTTCACAAACTCGGGGTCCTGCTGATACCTTTGTAGAACGACATCGAGTATATCGCAAACATGTGGGACGATGTCAAGCTCGCCGTCGATTGCGCCCTCGGCTTCCCATGAGCGTGACTTCTCCCAATGATTGGCTGCAATATGGAATGGGCGGGCACAACATCGAAGTACGGTCTGCCTCACGCCTAAACCTCCTCCGACGAACTCTGACATCTCGTGCAGGCAAACACGATCCTATACCACACCTTGAACCAATTGTCGTCTTTGGCCGCCGCTCTGAACGAAAGCAGCCTCGCCGCCTCGTGGACCCAGACTGCCTCCACCCTCAAGTCGTCCGCCAACACGCTCCTCTGGGATGACTCCGCCGGGATGTACCGTGACAACGAAACGACAACGCTCCACCCCCAAGACGGCAACGCCTGGGCCGTTGTCGCCCATCTCACCCTCAGCGCAATCCAGTCCCGCTCCATCAGCTCCGACCTCGCCATGCGCTGGACGGCGTACGGCACCCCGACGGCGGAGGCGGCAGATGCGATCTCGCCCTTCATATCCGGCTTTGAGCTGCAGGCTCACGTCTTTGCGGGCAAGGTCAGTGCCGCACTCGACTGATGCGTCTCCAGTGGGGCTTCATGCTCGACGACCCGCGGATGATGAATAGCACGTTCATACAGGGCTACTCGGCCACTGGCGCGCTGCTCTACGCGCCGTACAGCCTCGACGCACGTATCAGCCGCGCGCTGGTTCCTCACTAGTTTAGAATCGCTGGGTGCTACACTCATATCAGCTCCTCTCTGCCTCCGCCACGAGGTCTTCTGCCGCCCAGAAGGCGACAGCCGTAACCTGCTTCTTGCCGGCTTGCACTTTCAAATTCACGACCCGGCTTACGATGCGGCGGGTCATTGTCTACGCCTTCATCGTCGAAAGCCCGATTGGTTATACCGCGCGTGCCGTGAATCGAGAGACACATTGGCGCCGGGCGCTGCCATGTCACCCTACCGGTTGAGATGCTCAGCAACACTCCCCTCGCGATTGTGGACGCTTCGATAGCGACAACGACACGCAGAGCAGCTGCCCGACAACTCTGCATGCGACGAGCGTTCTCGAAGGACCCTCAACGCTAGGACTTGAGTATCGGCAGTTAGGCTCTACATCATGTGGCTGCAGAGGCCTGGTACGTCACAAGCTCGCTCTACGTTTGCCCCGGTCTAATCGGATTTTTGCCTTAACGCAGAATGATCGACGTTATGTGCGCGCGCGTGTGCCAGGTGTGAGAGATGCGGTCGTCGCGCAAGACCTGCAGCCCGCGTCCATGCTTGTCCGGTACGGTTTCAGTATGTACGTGCACGCGCCTGTGGCAGATATAGGAGTGCTGACGGCGTCAGTGGTGCAGCGATTCACTCCGGACTACAACACATTATCGCCTCTCGCAGCCGTCCTCGTGAGGTCCGCTCTCGTAGTCGGCCCTGGATGAGGATGCGCAAGGGCCTCGCCCGGTACTCGTGCAACCTTCCTATGCCTGTACTCGCGCGGGAGCCAGACAGACATCAACGCGCGCCATCGGATCCCGGACTACAACACATTATCGCCTCTCGCAGCCGTCCTCGTGAGGTCCGCTCTCGTAGTCGGCCCTGGATGAGGATGCGCAAGGGCCTCGCCCGGTACTCGTGCAACCTTTCTACGCCTGTACTCGCGCGGGAGCCAGACAGACATCAACGCGCGCCATCGGATCCGTGAAGTTGTCATGGGAACATGCTCGTGAATGTCTCTAGTGTGTATACTATTGATAATTGGCTAGCAATGCCCTCGGTGTACGACGTGGGGACCACATCTGAAGCCTCGGGGTCAACTTTACGGCGGATTGGAGGACTTCGTATGCAGCATTTCCGCTCCAATGTACAGGATGTGGACGTGTATTGTAGCAAAACATACACATGGTATTCAAACAGATTCAGCACGTTATGGGGTTCGTAGTAGAGCTGGCCTTCGCCCTTGATCATGGAAAGGACCAAAGATATGTAACGATATATCTACTTCTAGAGTTTCCTAGACCTCATGTGGTAGATGCCTGTTGAAGAATTGAGCGCGGATGTTCAGGACGTTATCGATGCGATATTCTGCACTTTCGTGAGTGAGTGTGTCAGTCAATTCATTGTGCTAGAGTCTTACATCTTAAGTTTGCTCCGGGCCCTCACTTGTGAAAGCTTCAGCGTCACTGACAGATTCCACGGAAGCAGTAGATGGAGTGGCAGCTTCAGATTGTACAACATGATCATCGGAGAACCTAAGGTTCAATATCAAGCGCGGTTGGCGGAGATCTGCGTGAGCGAAAAGGACAAATCGAAGGTATATTCGAAGCGGCCAAAGATCTTCGTAGTGCCACAGGTAGCGCCAAGCCTCGACGTTGGCAACCTGCGAGTTCATGAGATTTGCCAGCACTGAAGACAAAGCGACGTACCTCGGACACCACGATTCCCGTCGCGAATGTTGGCTGGTCTTGATAGACCCGGCCTATGACACAAGTCTCATGCGCTAGCTTGCAGATGTGCTTCTGCATTTTCCCCGGTGCTAATGTGAGTCGAATGCAATAGCGCGTCAAGTAGTAGAAACTGACTTTAATTCGAGGCCAATGCATCTTGAAGAGGGGCGCCATCGGCGACAGCATCTGCCTCAAAGTGAGCTTACGCCCATCAGGGCCAAGGCGTCTAGGTTTCTCGATAACATAGAGAGGATCTATGTGGAGGGGATCCATGTAGAGAGGATCCATGGGGATTGATTGATCAGGGCAACCCATCCCGCGCGCTGTACTAGTGGGAGTTGACGAGAACGGTCGGTGCTCGCCTTACACGATGTTTTTCAAAGAATCATGACAGTCAATTGCAAGCATCATATTACGAGAGCATCGCGATCATTCCTCGATCCGCGCCCAGTCTGGGGTGTCATCTTCCGCGCCGCTCTCGTCGCTATCCTCGTCCTCCGTGTCAGCCGCATACTCATCGTCCTCAACATCTACACCTGTCCACGCCGAGTGTGATTTCGATAGAGGATGAGTCGGCAGCGACATCCACGGATACGTCCAAACGACTGACCCAAGAGTTTTTCTTCAGCAAATGCATCTTCCGTGCATGCTGTGGCATCCGTCAACATTGCCGTTGCCATCATTGCCTGGCGTGCATTCAATTGCGAAGACTTCTTAGAAGGCGCGTCTGGAGTTCTGTCAGGCTGGCGTTGCAGAGTATCTGATCACAGGAGAAGGCGTACCAGACGAGACCTTGACTGTATCGAACTGCGGTATCCATTTGCCTCCAAGCGCCGAAACCTTGAGCAAGGGTAACCATCTGGACGAGAAGACTGTCCCAAGCCTCGTGAGTATGCGTGATTGGCGTCGAGCGTAAGCGTTCAGTCCGCGCATGAGACGGAGGTCCACTTCGATCCGTTGGTCTTGCTGTTCATCCCACCAGGAAGCCTTCGCACGGAGATAGGTCAGGACACGTCTCATTTCCTCCACAAGAAGCACGACCTCTTCGGCGCATCTGCGCGATCGTGCCCGCTGCCTCGCCCATTCGCTGCGCAAGTGTTCATCGGCATCCCTGTCATCAGTCTCCGTGTTGCCAGTGCGGGCATCAGGCGCAGTCCATACCCAGGAAGGTGTCCTCCGCCGTTCCGAATCATCCAATACATCATCACGGTATGGACCACGGATATCGTCGTCGGACAAACGACGGTAGTAGTTCCACCATTCTCCGGATGGATCCAAGATCTTGACAGCTGCGTATGCCGAGCGGTACGTAAACACAGACTGTTCGAGCTTCTTCGATATCCCGTCCCAGAGCGTTTTGGATCGCGTGCCATCTTTCTGGCCTGAACATGTGTTAATATAGAGATCAATCCAAAATTTGAGTTCCCGTACCGCCCATCGAATGCTTGATCTTTTGACGCACGGAAGCCCTGACGCCCAGGAAGCGTCGAACGTTGACCAGTCCATCCTTCATTCTAGCGATGACGTATTGCTTCTCCATGTCAACAACACCTCCGACACACCCGGAAATGCGCAGAGCATCGGGGATGTCGGAGGGCATCAGGATCGGAAGATGCTCAGCTTTGATGATGGCATCGGACGTTTCGTCGTTCTCCGCAAGCCGAGAAGAGCGACGGGTGATGGCTGCTGGCATGTAAGAGTTTTGAACGCTGTACCACTCCTGAATGCTCCGATAGAGCGCCGTGCGCCGCTCTTGCAATGTGGACGTCGCCGTGTCCGTTGCGTTTGCTTTGAGTTGCTTGGCCTGAGCCTCGATGGACCATCTGGTGTGATGGGGGTAGTCAGCCTAGCTCACATGTGTCACTTCGAACTCACTGCTGATCGCGCAGAATGAATCCCTGTCGAATGAATAGATTGGCAGTTGTGGGATGAAGCGTAGCTTTGTTGATGTTGGCATCTCGGGCGTCTTGGTCAGCAAGCTCCTTCCGCAATTGACTGACATTGATGGCTGGATTGCATGTAGTATCAATACGCGCATCTAAAATTCCAGGAGGAAGTCACCGAACTTGCCTTGTTCGGGCTCTTCGTACGGATTTGGATTTTTGTTCGGGTCAAGCTCCCATAGGCGGATCATCTCCTCCCACTTTTGAATGAGAGCGGGACTAAATCGCGAGGTGTGCTCTTCATAAACTCGTCGATGTCGAGCGCGCTCGTGAAGAGTTGTGATCAATGACTTGAAGAAGAAGTCACCTATCGGCAATTAGTATTGAGACTGAAAACAGTAGCATCTTAGCCAACTCACCCATCCCGACGACCTTCCGGAAATTCCAAAATCCCCAGTGATCATTAAGTGTATGATGACGTGCGCCCGGGCCCATGTCCCGCGTCATCGTAGAAACGCCGCCGATGTGGGCCCACTCTTGCTCTATGGTCTCTGCGTGCGTGAGGCCGACATACTCGTGAAGAAGGAAGTACATTAATAATTGACAGAGCAATGCGTGCCCGTGGACATGGAGGTTTGGAATAAAAAAGCGTAGAGTAATCGCTGAGAGTGCCGCAAAACGTGCTGGGAGGGCGGCGTGGCGCGTCTTAAGGTTCTTTTTCCACTGGCATGCGATGTCGTAACTGACAACGACGGGGAGCACGCACCCGAGAAGAAGAAGCGTGGACCAAAAAATGTAGTCCATTGTCACGTACCTGACGCAAATGAGCACCAGCTTGCAGACATGAGAGAAAAGCAAACATAACATACTTTTCGCCCTTCTGCAGATCAGCAACTCCATTTGGCCGGACAAGCGCATGCCTTGCGCACTTGACGGCACCGACACCACTTACTGACATGACACCAGGTTTCGACTTCGTCGCGTTCATATGTTTGATAGCGTTGAACGCCGAGTCGCAGGGGTCCGTGGTCTTCAGAGAGTAGTCAGTAAGACATTTGGTCACTGGCGAGCGGTAGAAATTTAGGTACTCACCTCCTCAATCTCCACGTGCGACTCGATGTGCTCCTTGTACTCCTTTTCAGGCACGTAATATCCCCAGCCGCTGCCGAGTTCCGGATCGTTAATCTTCCTATCCTTATTTTTCAGACGAAAACAGGCGTCGACAGCGAGGAATAGTGAGTAAATCCATCTGCACAGATGTAGGTCAGTATGAATCATGCGGAAAATCGTAAAACAACCTTTCTTCTGGAGGACGCTGGTTCCAATCATCCGGGATGTTCCAGCCTGGTTGGGGACACGCCGGGCAAACGACAGCCAGGGCGCCATTCGACGTTGCCTCGATTCCTGACGGGTCATGTCCACGGGCTGCCCGCTTAAGGGCCATGAGATGAGCCCACTGCCTCGTAGCTAGGGTTGCTTCATGGTATCTCGACTGAAAACACATCGCGTTAGCTTTAGTTCACTACTATAGGATCTGACTCACCGCGTGATGGGATAGACCAGCATTGTCCGTCTTCTGAACGACGGCCAGATAATAGTCATGAAGGGATATTTTCCCCTGGAGCGTAAGGCGGTGAAAGGTGTCGAGGAAAGAAAATGTGAATGCGGTACGGGGCTGTTGAGTAGAGGCAGGAAACCACCCGGCGTTCAGAAGCTGCTCGTACGGAAGAGTAGTGGAGCATCCGCAGTATTTGACATTAACGGAGTGGTAGCCGTTTGCGTCGAGAACGAGGAACGACTGATGAGCTGGGTGTGGATTACCGCAGCCTTCACCGCATCGATGGCCGAGTTGAACTTGGAGCCCTAGCTCGTGTAGTGACACCGGCCAGAAGCAGTCATGATCCCAATACTTGTGCGAGTCATTGGGTGTTATAAAGTGTATAGCAAATCACTCACTTGAATATGATGGAGTGGAAGTTGGCGATGGACCTCTACTACGCAAGTCTTGCACATCAAGCACTCGCCGAGGCAATCCTCACAACGATACATTCCAGGCTGCGTTGTCGACAGGCAAACCTCGCAGGGCGCTGGTGTTTCGGTCGGCAAGGCCTCCTGGGTGAGTAGGATATCAAGGAATTTTCGGCGCATCTGGGGCAGCCACTGCTCCATACGATACTACAATCTGGTTTGATTCGATCTTCTCAAAGTAAGCGATAGTACTTACCGAGATGGTCTTCGTAGGCTTTTTCTTCTGCTTTCGAGGTTTCTTGCGTGTCCCAGTACCGTTTGAGCCTCCGAGAGTCTCAGAGTCGGCACAAGTACCTTCTGCGTTCCCATCCCGGGAGGTTTGTGCATCTTGATCTGGAGACGATTGCTGATGGAGCCGCTTTGCAGAGGTGACACTGGAGCTTAACCGCCCCGTTCTCTCCGATATCTTCAGTCTTACATCTTCAGCCACTGTCTTCGGGGTTGCTAATACATCTTTGCCACAGAACTTCGGCAGTTTGGAGCGGGGCATTGCTTGTATGGTGACAATGAGTGCTCAGAAAATGACAGCGAGCAGCACATGTAGATGCAGTGCAGGTTGTTTGTTTTGGATGCGATAACAAGATCGTCTGCGACGGTACTACCACAGGCAAGCGAGACAATCTGAGATGATCAACAATACACAGCATAATCAGCTTAACGATTCCAGCGGTCTAACCCCCGCACGGCAATATTTTGGTCAAATATGCATTGAGTTCTTACATCACAGTGGTAGACATTAATGGGAGTCAGTGAGACGCCTCGCTTTTGCATATAATTAATATCATACATGAGCGAATATTTCGTGCTGTTGATGTGGAGTTTTGTGACGAGATGCCTACTACATATGACCCAGACAGAACCTTATTGTTACCTGGATATACTATTCGATGTGCGGCCGCGATGTCGGTACCACGGCACCATACTATGACTCAGCGATCACATCGCACGCCAAAGGACAAGAATCTACAAGAAACCCAGACAGGCAGTCGTCGGGAACCGTGACTGGAAGTCTCCGTCATGCCAAGTCAGTAGAGAAAGGTGAGACAACTCACTGAGGTATGAATGGAAGTGCGGAGCCGGTCAACTGTACGCCGCGAGACATCTATGTCGACGAAGGAGACTTGGGCGATGCAGCAACACCATTGGTACGAGGGCCATTAGGACGGGGGCTCCTACGACGAGAGAGCGGGAAGACGCCAGACATGGGAAGCGGCGCTCGAATACGCAGCCCGGGCGGCGTTACGGGAACGTTGCGCGGAGACTTATCCGGCAGAGGGTTCGTAACAGGGCGTGACGGCCCCGACGGCAAACAACGACTAACAAGATATTCCTCATCCAGTCTTTCATAGTCAGGGGACGGCGATGGAGGAGGGGCGGGCGGAAAAACATATGGCCACGAGATCGTTGCACGCGCACCGTACCGCTGGGCAGGTGTCGCTGAAGATCGTGTTAGCTTATGTCAGGACAAAAAATTGAACACGTACGGAGCCAGAAGTTGCAGAGCGCTGACAGCGCGAGGAACGCAGACTGCGACTCCGTCAGAGGCTTGCTTTGGATCGCGGATCCGGTCGAAGTCTCTCGCAGCCGCGGCATCTGAAAGTTGTCGGCCGCCTTCAAGAGCGACTCATAACCTCCTTCCTCCATCAAAAACCTACTACATGGGTGATAAGCACGACGATCTGACATTGGAGATAACGAGCACGAACAAGTCTGAGGGGATGCTGGCAAAGAGAGAGTTATCGCTGTGCAAGTCGGGGGGAAAAGTGGACTGGAGGGGCGTTGACAGCACATGCCAGTTTTTATCCCCGAAGGCATGCGGCGGACAGATGCTCGGCGCTGGAATGACTTGACGGCATGGCTCGCGGACGATCGGGGTCCGAGAATCAGGGTGGGGTTCGTAATCTGAGCGTTCACTTGAATGGGACGTGGACTTGTCATTTGCGATGGAAGTGCTCACATGAGCGAGCAAGGATACTCGAAAGTAGCAAATTCTGAACCTATTAGAGAGTGCATGTGAAGACTTACTCCACGAATGCCACTTCACATTGCACAAAGAAGACGGTGAACCGGGTGATACGCAATTTCACATAGTGTGATGCAAATGGTACTTCGTCGGCAGTGATGCCAGTTCAGAGGGCGCCCTCCATGACGAGAGACACCCAGCTTGAACATGAAGGAATACCGCGCTGCGATGGATAGTCAGCGACGTTTTGACCGCGGAGAACCGGTGGCGGAGAAGCTTGTGAGATTGAGTTGCCACGGTGCAACGTGGACCTGCTATAATTACCACCTGTTGCCGCATCAGGCACCCTGCGCTGCATGGCGACATTAAGTCCAAGAAAGGTCCCTTGATACCGTCTGTGGATCATCCGCCGGGGTATACATGTCCAGGGTGTCTTGCAGAGCTGCCATGAGGGAGCTATTATGGTTGAGGATTATTATCAAAGCATGAGCGATTTATTTCCGGATTTGAATGTTATCTGGCCATTCTTAGACGTTCCAAGTGAGATCGAGGCATTTTTACTGATCTGACATCGTTCGTACAGACGACTTGTCGAGTTTTCAAGCTCCTGAGCAAAGTGTTTGTGATAGAAGCCGCTATCGGCCATGAACTTTGCTTCGCAGGAGTGGATACCAGTGTTCATGTAGATCTGCGGTGAAAGGAGAACACCGCAGCGTACAGCATCGTGAAACTCCCGCGAACTTGACGCCGTTGGTGGGGGACGTCATTGCATAATCTTCAAATCGGCGTCGCCCGAATCCCTACCAAATCTGTAGTGTCAGGATGAAACGCTCCGCGGATAGCATACGAAGGGGCACACCGGATCGTACAGCTCCTTCGCGAGACCGATGGACTAGATCGCGGTCTTCCTCCGCTGGTAGCGATAGCATCACACGAAGTCTTCCCAAGCTTGTGACATCAATGTCCAAACATTGTCATAAGCATGACAAAATGCCGTGGTGCATGGGCCTGTCATGCTCCTTTGCAAGATGCCGGGCACGGAAGATGTCGTTGGATGATCTTGAGATCGGCATCACTCAAATCTGCCAAACTCACAGTGTCAGTGTTAAATTCGCAGTGGATAGCGCATGAATCGGCGCATCGAATTTATTCAGCTCCTTCGTGAGATGTCGGTGATGGACTATATCACAGCATTCTCTGCTGGTAGCACTAGCATCACACGAAGTACTTCCGAGTTAACTTCAGTGAATGGCGAGCGCCGTGGCGCACGCGCCGTCAAGCTCCTTCGCAAGGCGCCGGTGACGCCGGGAGACGTCGTCGCATGGCCTATAACCCGACAATGCATGGATCATTAATTGAGTTATCAACATCCGGTGCGCGGGAGATCGCGACCGCGACAACGCACCGTTCAGCTATTGCACAAATCACCAATGACAGGAGAAGTTACTGGTTTATCTGTTGGCTCACTCGGCGTTATGCGGCCCACTGCCAACATTGCCATATCGGCATAAACTTCACGGAAATCCCCGGGAGAATGCAACGCACCCAATCGGCCAGGTCGTGCGCAATGCGCTTCGTTGTTGTATTTACGGGCCGCGATCGTTGGGATTGCACCCATTGCTACAAGCTTAGCGATGCAAAGTCAACGGGAAATGGCGAGGGTGGCGACGTGCTGGATCGTCGAAATCCTATGTAAAGTATTCATCATCGAACAAGTACTCAGCGAAGGAGAAATGGTTATGATACAATATGCACAGACCATCGGATCTAGCCGTACCCTCATCAATTTTCATGGTGGGTGATCTGCACGGATTTGGATTGTTTTGACGGAGTATAGCGCACTATGACATGTACCGTGCTCTTCGTGGAAGCTATCATGAGATTAAGAGAGAAGGACGGCGATGTACTGTGGTGAAACGTACATTGGAGGACAGCGGCAGCTGTAGCCGTTCATCGGAATTCTCGTCACCATGGAGTATTCGCAGCTTGAGCTAGAGGATGAATAAAGTCAGAAAGGGCCTGGAAAAACCGCAGCAACTACCCTCAGCTTCATCCGAGAATGCCTGCAGTGTCGCAACCACCTGTTACGCCTGTAATATCACAACCATCTGTGTGGAGCGAGGCGGAGCGAGCACTGCTCTCCAGCCATGCAACCGAATATGTGAACTCCGGAAGCGACAAGCAGTCGTTCTACAGACGCGTATGGTGCATATACCTCCGCGCACATCCTGTGATGCCTAACCCGGAAGAGATCGCCGAGAGCGGAGGCGATGCCATGAAGGCATTTCGGCACCTAGGTTGTGCTCAACGTCGTGCACGACGGCTCGCGGTATGTTGCCTGCTTTAACCCAGCCCAGCCCTATGTGATACTAACCAGGTGTTACTTCGAACAACAGCAAATGACTTACTGGTATCAGAACAACGGCAAGCGTGCTGCGGCTGAGCAGGCGTCTGGTTTTGTGGCCCCTAATCGCGCCAGATTACTCAACCTAACAAACAAGGAAAAAAGGAAACCACAAGTGAGCATCATCCAGTGTACAATTACCGTGCTCTCTAGAGTCTAACATTCGACGAAGCCTGTCCACGCATGGATGCGCGTCTTCTACGATAAACCGGAGGTGAAGGCCGCGTATGATCAGGCGTGGGAAGCAGCAGTCACGGCCGGGTGGGATGAGAAGAAGGAGATCTCTTTTCGTAATATGTGGGCAGGGCAGCAGCTTGAGAACGCGGACCATGCAGCGAGGGCGCTCGTGGACGAGTACCGTGAGACAGGATATCTCAAGGACGACGTGGAGCGCTATATCGAGGTCAGCCCCTTCGACGACTCTGACATGATTCGTGCGAAACAGATTCAAGAGTGAGTACAGCATTACCCGATGCCATTCATAGTCTAATCTGTTTTAGGTCTCTCGACAATCTTCCCCATACCCTGAAACGTGTCGCGGAAAGTCTTCACAAGCAGACGGGCTGGAACTTCAGTATAACCTGTGGAGGTCCTTTACCTCGGGCCCCGAACGGCAAAGTGAATACTTTGCAGTGAGTCAACATGACACCGATTCGGCTGTCCACTTATCGTCTTTAGCCTATCCGTTGGAAAATGCAAGCAAGGCATGGAATGGTCCGACTGGAACTCGGAATACAAGGAAGACATACGCAGGTTTCGTCAGTTCTGCGATGCAACCTTCTGTGAGTCAATTCAATTGCAGACTTAAGTTTGAAGCTCACATCAGGAACCAATAGCTCCAGCCGAATGTATGGCATTAAGTCTCACCCGGATACAGACTTCGACGTTCAATGCCTCGAGCTTGATGGCGGCTTCGACTTCGACTTCGACTGGCCCAACTTCGGCTACCGCAAATGCCAGTTTCGACCCCGCTGTGATAGATCCATCATTGCTGGACATGACCCTCGTCACAGACGTTTCGCTCGATTTTGTTGCCACTGCAGCAACGTCTATCATAGAATACCCTGGTGATCCTTCATCAGGCACGGTGCCGGCCCCTTCGAAGAAGCGTCGTAGAGCCGAGAAAGTGGCTTCCAACCACAAGAAGGCGAAAGCCCGTCGCGAGAAGACAATTCTGGTACAAGCAGAAGAACAGGTGTTCAGATCGGAATCAAACCCTTTCCTTGCCCCGTCTGCCGTGCCCCCCGTTGTATCATCTCCAGTCCTGCCCTCGGCGCCGCCCCAGGTCTCGTCCTCCGTGCCGCCTCATGTTCTGCCTACAGCGCCGTTACAGGTCCTGCCCTCTGTGACATCGCTGGTCCCTCCCTTGGCAGCGCCTCAAGTACTGCCCTCGGCGGCGCCTCACGTCCCCCCCCCTGCGGCGCCTCATGTTCTGCCCTCCCCGACGTCTCCGGTCCTGCCCTTCATAACGTCTCCGGTCCCTCCCTCGGCGCCACCTCAGGTTGTGCCCGAGGCCACGCCTCACGTCCCGCCCTCGTCGGCGCCTCAAGTCCCGCCCTCGGCACCACCTCAGGTCGTGCCCGAGGCCACGCCTCACGTCCCGCCCTCTGCGGCGCCTCAAGTCCCGCCCTCGGCGCCCCCTCAGGTCGTGCCCTCGGCCACGCCTCACGTCGTGCCATCGGCCACGCCTCAGGTCGTTCCCTCGGCCGCGCCTCACGTCCCGCCCTCAGCGCCACCTCATGCCCTGCCTACAGCGCCACTACAGGTCCCGCCCTCGGTAGTATCACCAGTCCCTCCCTCAGTGGCGCCTCAAGTCCCGCCCTCGGCGCCACCTCAGGTCGTGCCCGAGGCCATGCCTCACGTCGCGTCCTCGGCGGCGCCTCAGGTCGTGCCCTCTGCGGCACCTCAAATCCCGCCCTCTGCGATGCCTCAGGTCTCGTTGTCAGCGCTGCCGCTACCGCTTGCACCACCCGCGGCCGCTTCTCAAGCGGCGGTTGACTCACGTACTCAAACGACCACAATACGGAGACATCTCAATGTTTCTTCAGCCCCCGCCAATGGCCTCGTTGATTTGGACGCAGATGAGGATGAGGATGAGGATGGGGCTGATGACATTCCACTTGGCGTCACCTCCAATGATTTGGATGATGAGGAGCGGCAGGAGATTTTGGCGCTCAACAGGTTCGTAGTGTGTACACATTCTATGGCCTTATAATTGACTAATTCTGAGACCAGCGGCAAACCGACACGTGCTATGCCCAATCCAATCTCTACCAGGAAGTCCGGGCGTGTTCGTAAAGCATCGCAGAAGTTGGCATCCCTCGAATCCACCGCATTCACCGCATTGGATGCAAGACTATCGGCCGCTGAGCTCATCGGCAAAGTTGTGCTAGACGAAAGTCTGCCTACCTATTTTACATCCGCAGTCAAGTTCATGGGATCTCAGGAATACGGCCCCTACAACGATTTTCTGCAGATGCTCAAAGCTTTTATTGTTTTCGAAGCCAAGTCACAATTCCGAGCACAGAATGTGAGTGCTTTAGCTGTCTGTGAACTTTGTGTTTCATTCGTCCTGTCAGTCTCGCACCAAGGCCATCAACCGACCCAAAGTCATCCAGACATGGATGACGGGCCCGAAACGAGACTTCGCAAGCATGAAGTCGTGGGACCCAGGGCAAGACATCGCGGGGTGGTTTTTGTGGTGGGCAACACTGCAGCCGGCATGGCGCGGTGCCATCATGCCTCATTCTCGTGAAACCCCTCCTGGGGCTCGCTACCCTGACATCAAAACTGGTCAAATGGGTGTTGTCACCGTGGTCGCATCTCTCGTATGCCTCTACCTGTCGACCGAAGAGCAGGAGCTCTGCCAGAAACTGGCTACAGGCGCCCACGATCTATGCTGGGTTTTAAAAGCTGCCGCCAGCGGCATTTCTGCGAGAGACGACGAAGAAAACGAGAAGCAGCCGCCCCGCAAGTAAGTAGATGTCGCGATCTCAGTTAGTTCAAACGTACTCATTCATTCTCATCAGGCGACCTCGCTTGTAGCATCAAGTTCGATTCGCGTACAGAGTATCTCTAATTCTGTTATGACCTTGCTCCATTCACTTTCTATCAGAGTACTAGTAGTCCGTTCCTTATATTTCTAACATGCAGCTTAATCTGTGCCCTAGATAGCGAGCGATAGTCTTGCATAGTCAGTCAATTGCACGTTGCGAGTAGTATCATATAGAATTTCTTGACAATACCATGGTCATGGTCATATACACCCATCATCAACCTTGCAAAACGTACGCTGCACGCAACCTTCGGTGACGGCGATCTCATTGTAGGCTATGACACGCGGGTGGTTCAATTTAATACTCCATCGCAGTATGACGCGGTGACGATGTACACCGTGTGTCGACGACAAGACATTTATTTATGTGAAGTCACTGAAATGGATGAATGACGCAAAGCGGCACTGCGCATGCATCGGGGGTGCCGACATGCGGACAATCAACCAGCCCGCGCAGGCGTGCTCACGCTCATCACACAAGGCTGCTGGAGTTTGTTGTCGAGGTTGAGCCCGAGAGTAGGCATACCTCCTCGTGATTCTGCTGGAGATTATCAGCCAGATCGCGCCGGCGTGCTCGCGCTCACCGTGATGAATCGTCTCACGCCGCTGCTGGCGTATCTCGACGGGGCCGGGCTGAAGCACGGCGCCGATCTTCTTCGTGCTGTTGCCGGGGATTGTCAATCAGCCCGCGCAGGTGTGCTCGCGTTCGTTGCGCGAGGCTGCTGGAGTTTGTTGTCGAGGTTGAGCCCGAGAGTAGGCATATCTCCTCGTGATTCTGCTGGAGATTATCAGCCAGATCGCGCCGGTGTGCTCGCGCTCACCAGGACGGAGCGTCTCGTGCCGCTGCTGGCGTATCTCGACGGGGCCGGGCTGAAGCACGGCGCCTATCTTCCTCATGCTGTTGCCGGGGATTGTCAACCAACCCGCGCAGGCGTGCTCGCGTTCGTTGTGCGAGGCTGCTGGAGTTTGTTGTCGAGGTTGAGCCCGAGAGTAGGCATACCTCCTCGTGATTCTGCTGGAGATTATCAGCCAGATCGCGCCGGCGTGCTCGCGCTCACCGTGATGAATCGTCTCATGCCGCTGCTAACATATCTTGTACGTGTGTTATCCTACATATCAGTGTTCACAGTAGAGTCCTGCCCTGCCCATCCGCCTTAGTTACTAGTGTGGCGCGTCCGATACGAATTAGCAGTGCGCGCGCATCAAATAAGCCAGTAGATGAGTATGTGAATTAATAAGAAGAGAGGTTCAATCAGAGCACGACACGAACACGTGCCACCCCTGCCGTATTTGGCTGCCCATCTGCGGACGAGTCTAGCATCGCGTGCTGAACTTTATTGGGCGGCTTGGTGCTCTGAAGAAGCTGCAGTTTATACTGCACGGGCGCACGCGTGCGAGGCCCACGCGAGTCCAGGTGTTGATACTGCGTTTTGTTTACGAGGAAGGCAAGGCTCAGTTGCAGGCGGTTTGTGCAAGGTGTTTTTGCTGCTGTAGCAGGTGTTTTATTAGACTGGACTGGTCACTAGCATTGTCCAAAAGTACCACATAATGGATCCGAGCCAGTCCGGCCGGTTCCAAGAGTATAGGGAGTACAGAAATGGTCTGATGACGCGGTAAAACGGTCGTAGAATAGGGCGTATCATCCATCCGAACGGTGTCTTGTATGGACAAGTCTCGAAGAACAGCGGTAGTAGTACGGTCAGCGCCGCCATGAATGTGGTTAAACCGGCGGCGGCGCAGCACACTCCAGCTACGACGGTGTCAATGGGCCAAAGTAGAGTGACGAGCCCGCCGAAGAAAAGCACGACCGCGAGCTGCAAAAGGCCAGGAACCAACGTCACGATAGTGGGGACTTTCCATTTTTGAAAGGCATCGTAGCGGAACTTCCGAAGCTGTATGGCGTGCTGAACGGGGGAGATGTTCGGCCATGCCATGTACTCGCGAAGCCATTGCTTCACGAATATGCCGAGCAGAGCAGAGGCGAGCGCGAGGATGAGGCTTAGGAACCAGAGTGCGTTGATCGCGACCACATGGGAATCGGCCTGAAAGGACATGTTCAGCGGATCGAGGGACGCAGGGGCGGCCTGGTTCAAGGAGATCTGCTGGAGCTGGAGAGAAATATTCGAGAGCAGTTGGACGGAAAGCTGAGTGTTGTCCGGCTGCAACTGGGTGTACACTTCGATCAGGAACGCCGTGAGGACCGCAGAGAACAGACCGGCCTATCAATACACGACGCGTTAACAAGAGCGGTGATTAGATCAAGAGAATAGCGCACAAAGATGAGGAGGTTATCGATATCCTCCGAGTATCCCTTGATCATTTCCCGATCATACAGTTGTAGCCGGTCGTACACGTAGTCCCAGCCCGTGGCGCCAGGTTTTGTCGGCTTGTTTTCCGCGGGCTGTCAAAGAATCGTATCTTAGTAACTGGCGGCATTATCCGAGCATGTCGTGTCTTACTTTCGTCTTCAGGTCGTGTGCGGATGGCAGGTCGCCACGATTGCCCGCTGCACCGCCGCCGTTTTGAGTTTCTGGACCTGGTTCGCCCACTACGGGCCTGGCCGCTTCATTACGAGCATCTCCTCGTTGGCTCGTGGATCGGCGATTGCCAATGTGTGGCACGTCCTACGGTAAAGAGGTCAGCGACCACTACTTGAACAACACGGCCTAGATCTCGTCTCACATCCTTCGGGGGTTCTTCTGGAGGCTCAGGCCCTCGTTCAGCGATGTTTAATACCGGGCTGGAGGGTGGTGGCGACGCCATGCGAGAAGGAGTTGAACAGGTGTGAGTGGTATGGATGGAGAGGAGGGAACGGAGGGAGCGCGGCTCAGGCAGAGAAAGGCGTTTTGTAAGTAGCTCCAGGCAGTAGGCGCTCGAGCGCGGAGCTTCATATCGGCTCAAGATATTTTGCGGCGTAGGGCGTGTTGACAGCGTGTATGCACGACATCCCATATCCGTACTCATGAATGCATATGACCCGTTCCCACAGCGGTGGGTATGAAGTTCGCACTAGCCTTGGATTTATAACCGGATACAAAACCGAATTTTGAGATTGGTTCACTTTACCGATGGATTCGAAAGAAGTTTTAATACTTCGAGTATTCATGTATTTAATAGCGCAATTAGTTATTTCAAAACGGGTGAGGTGTGGATTTTGAGTATGCGCAATGCGCGTATGTACAACCATATTACAAGATTGGATGGGCATATATACTACATTAGGATTTCAAGAATGCGCAAGAACGGAATCGAGATTAGAATTTGAAGAATTCGTTTTGCGACGGATGAGTGGCATATTTTAAATACAAGAAAAGTCCACATTGGTTGACCCAATCAGCGGCCCGTGAGTGGGCAGTCAGCAACCCGTGAGCGGGCAGTCAACGACCCGTGAGCGCGGACGTGATCGTCCACCGTGTTACCAGTGGATCGACGTCGGTTGCCGCGCATG